TATTTTTCTTAAGTAAAATATAAGTTTGAATCTATTGATCAAATTTAGTTTCATATCAATTTTTAATTCAAAATATATGCTAAGTCATTACAAAAATTTGTCATATGTAATTTCTTTTATAACGTTTATATTTTTTTGATATTATTAATTTATTTGATATTATAAATTTTTTGATAGATTTTTTGAAATAATTAATTAATCAAAATGGTTGAAATAATTTGATTTATGATTTATAAATTTCTACAAATTATAAATTTATTATTTTAAATATTATAAAATCTATTTCCACGTATTTAAATATAACAGAATATTTATATTAACATTCATCTTTTAGATTAGATTATGACTGAAAAAGTTTTGGCTAGCAATAGAAAGTTTGGAAGGCATAAGATTTAAGTTCGATTAAAATTATAAAAAGAAAGCGATCATTATCTATTTTCGATTCGGGAGAATTCAATATATATCTAATAGTTACTAATATGATGAGTACACGACTATCATATTGGAAATTATTAAGGCCGCTATTTCGTGTGTGCGCACAATGATTTTGGGGGCATTCGCAATCTCTCCGATTGACAAATCGTTGTGATAGATTTCATGTTACAAGCATTATTACTTATATTGTAACTATGTTTCAATGTAACTTGAATTATGTAAATAAAAAAATTAGAATATTATATCTTCATTAGTTTCAATTACGTAAATTAAATGCATGTAATTATTAAATAAATTTTACAAATTTTTAATTTATACAATATCCCATAATTACCATTCAACATATGACTCAAGTTTATGTGTACTGATATTGCAATATCATAATGAAATGAGCATAAATTGCAATGACAATACTATTATAAAGAATATTTTTTAAAATTATTTCTTATAAACAAAAATATAATACATAATTGACAAACAGTAGGAACTCTGTAAATAATGAAATGGAAGCTCATAAACAAATTACTTCAAATATTTGGTAACATTGCAATTATTTTATCTATACTGTGATTCAAAATTAGTTTCGCTAATGCAATTTAACTTTTGCTTACAGCACTCTCATACTCATTGATTCTTTCATTTACATCTCGTGAGAAATGAACTTTTGCACAAAGATGTTATATATTTATTTTCAATTATGAGACTTGGATTAAAAAGAAAATATCCAATAAATGCAAATTGATTTCATATCAACTTATAATCAATTTTAAGTTCTTTTGTTACAAGCTGCATCGTCGTGCCATCTTGCGTCGATAAGACCAGTTCAAAGTTAGGCAGTGTCTGGAGAACATACGTCGCTCCATGATAATAGACTGCTTTAACATCACATTCAATATAAAGGCCCACGGTATGTATATTTATATATAAATTAATCAATTAAATTGTATCGCTTGTGGCATTTATAGTTTCAACAGATGCTCAAGTTAATTATACTCTGAGCGATATTGACAAGCGACACAAAACATATATTACAATTCCTTCGCAAAATTAATTTTCGCATTCACATCGATTCTTATGTATTCCATTGGTATTTAATAACCACGAATACAATGAATCAAATCGCGTGGCTATTTCATTCAATTGATCTTATCGGTTAATTGAGTTAATGGATCATTAATTATTGCGCAGACATAAATAATAATATCGCATAGTATAATGGCGTACTTGATTTAAAGAAGACTATTGTCGACTTAAACATATCTTTGAAATTTTTTTGCTGCAATATAGCGGATAATTTGCAAATTTGAGCGATAGATCGCGAGTGCGCACACCATACGACGGGAAATGATGGAAATGAAGGGGCACTTTGCATTTGAAGGAAACGGTCGCTCGAGTAGATTAACGTAATTAGAAAGCACAAGCTTACGAGTGCACGCGCACGCAGTGGGAGATTTATAATAGCAGAGACGTAAAGCGAAGAGTAACCGCACGTGTGGAAAATCCTTTCCGTCTATACAATTGCGTACGCATACATTCTGAAATCAGCAAGAAAGATCCTATAATAAGCTTTACACTCTACTCAGTCCCATGATAGGATTGGATTCATTCCACACGCTCACATGGAAGCTTTCAGGTTATAGAAATAAAAGCTCCATGTGATCTCATATACATAAGGATCTTATCTTTAAAAGTTTAATTAGAATTATATGGCATATAAGTTTGGAGCTGGCAGTATTAGCATAGTCAGTTTTGAAGTATTTAAACGTCGCGTATATTTTTGCTTGCAGATTTTATTAAATGGCTCGAACATCCCTTCTCTTTTTCTATATTTTTTTCTTTTTTATTTTTACCCGTTTCGTATATAAATTCTTATAGGAACCTAAAGTATCTCTGTTATTATAACAAAACATACAAAATATTATTATAAAGTTATTATAAATTATTTTTATATCTGTATAAATTTATAATAAAAATAAATAGTTAAAGTAATAAGAAAAATATTATATTTATACAAACTTAATAAAAAAGTTAATTTAATAAAATAAATCGGAAACTTAGATGTGATGAGATTTCTTCGTAAAATAAAATATTTTCAAAAATAATAGAAATTACACTATTTCGTTACACATGTTCAATAAATATATAAATACATTTGAACGTGTCATCAATTATGCGAATGTCCGAGCACAAAGAAACTCGAGCGACCCTGCCGGCTCCATTATCATAATACATTCGATTATACCACGTTATTACTCTCTGGGGATAATTATCTTGCATTTGACTTAACAACGTAACATTTCCCTTTATCTTTAACAACAACAGTAACAACATGTTTTCTTCTGATAGCAATGTATTTCTTAAAATACTTCGCGGATGACGAGGATTCGTGTTCCAACTCATCCACGTACGCACATCGCACGATAATTAGTACGAATAATCAATGATCTTACAAGAGCGGATGGGATTAAGCGGAATTGATTGTAAATGTTTCAAGGTCTTTCGTAATTCTTCCTATGAAACATACTCTGACTTTTATTCTTCCGCATACTTAACATGCATTGCAAGTTCGGAAAGCATTATTTACTAAAAATAATAAAAGTCAACATAAATTTACTTATTATTACGAATTTCATTATAAAAAAGGATATATATTTACATTTATAATTGATATAAATTAACTGTACGTTTTTATAACATTATTGTGTAATGATATATTGAAAACATTCAAATAAAATATTTTATAAAAATTTATTTAATTCAAAAATTTTATTTTTTGATAGTGAAGATATGTTTATATATATTTATTATCAAACTTATGCCATGCGTTTATTACCAAAATTATATAAATGTTTATTGAAGAAATAAAAAGGTTTTAAAATTTATTTTAAAAATTTTAGTAATTATTTCTATAAAAAAAAAAACGATTTCAAAATTATTGTATTTTTTATATTTTTGTTGTTTAAAGACTAAATATAAATTATATTTAATTTACAAACATAACCATCTTATCAGAATGTTATCTTTATTATTATTATATATGTGTGATTTTAATTTAATAAAAAAATTTTACTCGAATTTTTCTTAATCTATAATAAACTTTTTTTAAATATTTTCAATATATTATTATGATTAAGTTTGTTTGATGTATAATATTAGAAAATCTTTTAAGTTTTATTTTTTCAAAAAGAATACTATAACCTGCAATGCACTTTAAAGCTCATATAAATTAATGCAGTTATATACAGCGACATAAGTCTTAAAATTTTAATCCTAATTCTCGAATTCGATGCGCACGTGAAACTCGATGTCATTTCGAGTAATCTATAGCGGATTGCCAGGATGTTGTGTCGAAGATTATGACAACATTCTGTCTTTTTTAAAAATATTAAAGATTTTACGTAATCTACAAAAATGTACAAAATTTACATACAGTTTTGGAATTATTTGAAAAATATATAAAAATAATAAATTATTATCTTACACATCTGACATAAATCGACAATGATTACAATCGACGACGTAACAATTTTAAACATCGCGCATTTTAATAATATAGATATAAAAATTTTACATACATCAATTTTTGTTTGTGATATTTTTGATTCAGTGCTTATTGCTCTTTTTTGCTAATTATGTTTATTTGCTTGATATCTTTTTTCGATTTCATATTCGAATCCTGACATTCCGCCGTGTGCGCGCATTGTGGCTCGATTTTTATCTCATTTATATGTTACTTCTTATTTTTGAGCATATTACGTTTTTTAAGTAGGTTCTTTTTTTAGAATATTTCATTGTTAACCATATTAAATATATATATACGTTATACTATATTTTGTATCGTTATACAGACTCATTCACACTAATTTTATCTGACATACAGGCTTAAATATCATGTTAAGTATTTCGTATAGTACACATTGACATTTTCCATTAAGATATCGATTAGGTTCTTCAGTTTTTAATTTTTCCACATTATTTGCATCGACGTATTACCATATGACACTTATTTGAAAACTGGCATGAGTTCGTACAAAGTTGAATGTGTCCTTTTTAAAAGATTTAGAAATTTCATAACTATCTATTGCATTGTTGGTGCCTGAATAAATATGTGCCTTTTCCTTCATGATTTTGGTTCCAGTTATAGTAATTCTTTATTAAAATTTTTCTAATCGTCTTTTTTTGCACTCTGACATGATTTCACTAAATAATTATATATTCATAAATAAAATATAAGTAACAAATATATATATATATATATATAGATAATGATGACAAGATGATAAAATAAAATATAGAAAATGTATATTTACTATGTTCATATATTTAAAAAATAAATACATATATCGCACAAGATAAATAATGACAATAAATAAAGTATCAAGATACGTACCAATAGAAATGCAATATTAAAAAACAGGATTAAAATAATTGTTTTATAGAAATTTCATTAATAATTATATAAAAATGTTTACTATTGATTAATTTATAATTATGAAAATACATGAGTATATATTTAATTTAAAAACTAATAAATTTACTGAAGAATTAAACATATTAATCACATAATTATATTTTAAGATATTCTAGGGAAGTTAAACGTTTATTTCGTTTTTTTCGAATTACTACCTGTATTTCAAAGTGCCTGAAAGATTACCTAGCGCACAAATTACGAGCGCGTCCAGACAATTTTAGGCACAGGTTAAAATTTTGAAAAAAAAATCTTTGCATGTGCACACAACTACGTGAACACGAAACACGTAACTCCGATATCGATAACACGCCTTGTCGATCGTATGTTATAGTAAATCCCATCAAACTCGTAGATCAAAATCCGATTCGATTATTAAAATCCGTTTCTCCGCGAACATCACAAGATTTAGCAATTCTTAAACATTTCTCTCAGTCATCATTGTTGTGTGTGAATGCAACCGACGCGTAAATGCATTCCCTCCGATATTCCAAAGAATGCATTTCTCAGAAGCGTGAACGCAAGTATCAATAACAATGCACTTCCTCGAGTCACAAAGTATCCTCGAGTGGTGTTTTCTTGGTCGCTGGTTGACTCTCAATCATTGATAGGCACTGACGACGTTCCTCCTCTCGTTGTTTCGCGCGCATGACGACAATTTCCAAGGATCGATATCAGCGGATCAGCGTCTAAACGAAAGGTTGATGTGGAAGGGACTCGTTGTTCGAGGCAGGAGCAACAGGATGCGATTTTTTAGATCGCATCATTTCTGAAATCTTCAGGGGCCCCTCAGTCCGTCCCATACGCTTCCAGCGCGATTGAGCGACTGAAGCCGATCCTCTTACGATCACAGAACTGTTTCCATTTCAGCGATTTCTGTCCTAGTTGCATCATCATCTGGAATCCTATGACAAACAATCGTTTATTTTTGCAAGTGCAAAAATCTGAGGTATGTCCGAATAACATACCAAATAGTTGCACAGTACAACATAACAAAAACTAAAAACACATCTATTGTGAAATAAATATAAAAGATAAAAATAACTATATTCAGAATTTGTATCAATATTAGATAATTAATATAAGATTAATATAAGATGAATTATGTATAAAATGATATTATTTACATTAAGTACATGCATATGTTATTTTGTTATTAAATAATAAATAAAAATCCAATATTTCCAATAAATACAATTACATATTTAAATAACAAAAGTCTGATAGGTGTTATATTATTATAACATGATTCATATTATTTATTAAAACTAAATGAAAAGTACGATTAAGAAATTTTATTTTTGTGAAATGTTTCGCATAACATACTGTGGTAAATCATATTACGTTTAAGCAATCGATCTCTCTCCAACCCAACCATATAATTCCTCGCCTTTACCTGTAAATCTCTGTGGGCAAAAACGTCTCGGCGTATTCTGTACTGACCACATGGTTTCTGCTCATATCCCTCGGACGGGCAACCTCGACGGCATCGATATACCTGAATATAAACGATCGGAGATTATGTTATCGTCATCGTAACATCAGAAGAAGTTGTCTCCTATATGCATAAAGTAAACTTTATCATGCTCTTCATCTTCCTCATCTCTGCCCCGATCACGACATTTTCTCAATATTCCCATACCCCGAATTAGTTTTCTCTCTGCGTCGTCGTCTCGCCGTTAGACATTATAGGTAATTAATCAATTAACCGCCACAAACCACCACAGGTAATTACCTATAATGTACACACTGTTGGCACCGACACGCCTAAGTTACCTAGCTATTTCCTTTGGAACTTGCATGCCATGCTATCGAGCACATTAAAGTAAAAGAAAAAAATCCGTAATACTAAGAACGATACGAAAGTGTGTGAGCGAGAGATACTTAATGTGTAAATTATGCAGACGATCTACTAATCTACATAGAAGCAACAAGCGGCTAATCTCTACAGCCCTGTTATTCTATTGATTAATCTTTCTAGACGAGGCCCGCCGTCGTCGATCCGCGTGACGCTCTTGCGTCTTTTCTTTTGCTTTCTTTCTCTCTTACGCATACTTTCTTTTCTTCATTATAGGAAAGAGAAATCAAGGGGAACGGATGTCGCGCGAGTTTACGAAACAACAGAGCCTCGCGGGATCGCGCGAGTCGTGGCAAAATTTCAATGATCGGTGGAACGATCTTTTTCTACACCATGTGAGACCGATTGCAGTGACGTAGGAACATTGCTGAATGCAAAGTGTAAGTGCCAATTGTACCGTGAGGTCCAATGTATAATCATATAAAAAAAAGTTTCGATCTTTTAACATTAGAGAGTAGCAAAAGAAATTTCTCATAACTCTTTTGTAAAGCGCGTTGCAATTATATTCTGCATTATAGAATATTTTCTAATCGATCTGATGATAACTGTTGAGTAAAATATATTAAAATATTTCATATGAGTTATTAAATGTATTGTGTTGTTAATAATTATTACAACACAATTATTACAAATAATAAAGACGTAAGATGAATCAGATATTAGGATTTCTTTCCAAATGATTAACAATTAGTGAAATTATGAAAAATTACATTATTACAATAAAAAATTTGTATAGAGATTAAAGATTTCAATGAAAATATATTATAATACAGTAAGCATTATAGGCATAATTTAATTCCTGCGTCACTGAACGTTCTTACGTGTAGTTTGGCATTGCGGACTTACGAATCGAAGTATGGTGGTAGCGGATGCGGAGCTTCCACCGCCAATGGCTCCGGTTGTGAATGGCGGTCCGAACTTTGGAAGCACCTTTGCCACCAGCCGAGACTTCCGGGTTTCCTCCTTTAAAAAAGCCGACGTGGATATGTGCCAGGCTTCCTTCTCATCGTCGAACCACCAATTATCGCTTAACATGACTCAAATAAACCATTTCCCGTTCAACTCGAAACGACAACTCGGGACACCCCATATAACACTTCCCCACTTTCATGGAGGTTTGTTTCTCTTATTTTCAAACATGACGTACAAATGGATTTACTTCTCTCGAAACAAGAACAAATTTACCAATTATCTACGCAGCATATAATACCGCAGACGGACAATAGAGAAGAAATCAAATGCGCGTGCTAATAATCGATACGATATTAATGTACGTATGTAAGCATAAATATATACACGAGATACATGTTACCTAAGTAATAACTAAATAAAAATTGCAAAGCACGCGTTTTCAATAAAATTCATCAAAATGTATTCCTTCTTCATACTATACTTTTTCTGTATTACAAAAAGTGTAAATTTCATTTCATAATGTTTGAGATAAGTAAAAAAATAATATTTATATATATATATATATATATATATATATATATATATATTATTTATTAATCAATTTCATTAATAACATCACTATTTAAAAATTTATTTCATAAATCTTTTATCAAAAAGTATATTAAAATGTATAGAAAGATTAAAATTTCTTAAAATTCCGAAGGAAAAGGGAGATATTAATGTCTGATAATAATGTATAATACTTATTGTGAATGTTGCATTTAATATATACGATTCTGATATGAAATGCAACGTTTTTTAAAAAAAATTTAAAAAAGATTTTGTCAGGAAGAAAGGAAGAAAACGTGACAGAATATCTATGCGATATTAAGAAATGTCGAACACATTTGACACTGCATCAAAAACGCACATTTTGCTCTATTATTAGATAGATGCATGCTGTGCAAACAAGATTCCAAGTGAGTTTAGAAAGTAGGTTACCACTTAAGCTCGGCCTGCGAATTATTTGTTTTACGGGATGCACAACTTCAATGTTGCTACCCGTACAACAATGATTTCCGGAGTAATTAAACTTTAACGTAGAAATTTGCATAGAAAACCGAGCAAAAGTTTGTTCAAGATATTAGAACAAAGACAGGTAGAATAACTGTGCAATTGCATGCGTAGACTTTTATCACGGGTCCACTTCCGCTTTGCGAAGTAATTTCCGAAGAAGAGCGAAGAGTATAGTAAGGTGAAGAGACTCAAAAGAAAGCTTTCTAGAACAAAGGCTTCCAGTTTTGGAAATGGAAAACAAGCGATAGCACTCTGCGGAGAGTATCGTTCATGAAAGCATAATTATAATCCAGAGAAGAGCGATAGAATGCGCGTGTTAGTTGATATTTCGTTAATATTTTGTTTACTGCCGCGGAAAATTTTTTTACTTGATTAGGCTGAGTCAATTAATCTTTCAATGTCGGCTGCACCATTCCATGATGTATCGATAAAATGCTTTAATATAATTATTTTGAAGAAAATATTTTTCATAAATAATTCTTAATTTTAAATATTTTAAATATTTTTAGAAGCATTGTATTTATATATTTAAAATGTATAATAGTACTTACAATATTATCAAACGTTCGATGAAAATATTGAGTTTGAAATAAATTAATTTAATTTTTGTTATTCATTGTGATAAAATTGGATAGATGGTTATTTCATTTAAAGATTATGCAATATTCATTCACTTTTATTTTCAACATGTATAACATATGCTGAAAGACCTACCATATTTTTTACTTCCGTTTACTGTCCGTCCAAAATTGCCGATATCAATACTCGTATATTACATTTTTATTTTCCTATCAAATATAAATATACTGTGACGACACATGTACACAATGCAATTTTAATCAGAAAATTCCGGCATTAAAAGATTAATCATATCAGAAAACATTCCGATTTGTCGCACCAATTTCAAATATCAAGACGATTTATTCTTAAAATTTGCGAACTCCTGTTTTAATAAAAAGAAATAAAATCAATCGAGGGGAAAACCGTTATGATAAAATTAATCATAAGGGAATGACGTATCTTCAAATATTAAATGATCGAGTTTGAAGTTAATCGGATAGCATGGTTGATGATCACTCGAAAGACAAGTCTCTGTCTTTGCAAACTGTGCGATTCAACCTGATCTATCCGGTTTCTCGCTCGATCGCATTGCAAATACCCGGCGCAGTTGAGTACTTTCGTAGCTTGATACGGAATTAAATGGTATTAGGAGAAGAGCAAAGCGTACTTGGTTTGGGTCGGCTTTATTCCGTGGGCTTCGAGATCCTTCTCGAGCTGCCGTATCCTGATCTTAGCCATGTCGAGCTCGTGCTTGACCTTCCACAAGTGGGTGTCGCAGATCGGATCCTTGCATCTATGATGCCTCAGTATATCCTGTGCCTCGTACACTGCACCACGGAAGGTCAAGGACTTTCCCACGCTCTTTAAAAAAGACATTTTATCATATCATTATACTTTCGTCAAATTTTTCTTTTCATGCTAATTTTCCAAAGCATTTGAAAATTAATATTAAAACTAAGATAAGAATATGTACATGAATTTCCAGATACATAAAAAATTTTAACAATATTTCTGGATATTAAAAACATCGTTATACGTGCAATTTTATCTTTTTATCAATTATTGTCAATATATTTTAAACATTTTGTGTTATGTTTGTTATTAAACGCTAATAAATCGTGATCAAATTGATTAAATTATTGTTAAAAAAATATGCAATTTCTATACTTTATTGAGAAATAGATAGTTTAGATTATTGATATACATTTTTTAAAAGAATTGTAATATTTAAGCATCTGTCGCCTCCTGATGGTTTTAAAGCTAAGGACGACCTAGTTCCAGAAATAGCACAGGAAATTACAGAAGATTCTCGCGATATTAAAATCCGCGACGCTTACCAAGCTGAAAATAGCGCACGTGCCACCATCATCACTTTTTGCCAAGTGCTGTCTGATGTATTTGAAATATAGGTGTTCCAAGAGTAAAAAGACTACTGCCAAGAGAATACCCATCATCAATAAGAGAAATGCGCTCAAGAATTGCTCCAATGCTAGTGGATCGCTACTCTTTTGTACTTCCTTTCCGGGCTTACATGTCCCAGTCATCCAGTATCTCCTCAATCGCTCCAGATCTCCTAGAATCGATGAAATAACGTAGGTAGGCAATAATTGATTTGTTAAATAAAATTTATGGATCTATATATTTTACACACACAGAGAAAGGATTTTTAGATGTGAAAGTATTCTTCGGGATGCTTAAAAAGATTTGGAGTACAAAAGTACCGTTATCTCTATAGTCCAACAGCCGTTTGTTGAACATTTGTAAGTACTTTGAGTTCCTGGAGAATGCGAGACCGTATCCCGTCATGGCGTACCATGATCCGACCGTCAATAATCGACAATCCTCGTCCTGGGCGACCAAATAATCCAAGACTGTGCCATCATAAATAAACGCATCCATGTCTCTGCAGAAGTTATAACAGAACATTCTGTACCTCATTATTGTATACTTAAAGCCGATTTAAAATATCTTTAGAAGACGGCTTTACATCAAAATCATTGTCAAAGAATCTTCTTCTAATTTATATATATATATATATATATATATATATATATATAATAAT